TTTCTTGTAATGGTTGCCCTTATTGCGCAACAAAACTTGCTCTTGCGGAGTGATTGATGCTATAGAAAAGGGGGACTCGGTTGGATTGGACTGTCCTTTGCATAGCCTTTCTCGAGATATGGACACGTGGAGTTGAAGTTGAGGTCGAGGTCGAGGTCGAGGTCGAGGTCTGTAAATAATATAGATGAGTTGAGCTCTAGACTTGAGTAGCATGACCTGGGTTACTGAGCTCATCCTTAGATATTGTGGTACCATCAGTTATCCCCCAGTCCCCAGTCAAACAGGTTGATTTGAGCAAGGATTATGCCATGAGTAAGGTTGCCTGGGTCGACCTCGATTTGTGCATGATGGGACTTTATTCTAACGGTTATGGCGAACGTGTAATCATGCTCTCCTTGTTTCTCATGCACATCCCTTATTTTGAGGGTCCACGTACATTTGGCTAAATGCCATTGCATATGAAAAAATCGTCTTTCATTTTCTCAATCCCTCTTTACATTGTGTCTTCAGGCTTTATTTCTTCTCTTCCCTTCCTTTTTTTCTTTCCCTTTCCCTTGTTCGCTAAGGATATAGGGTTTTCAAGAAAATTCTCAATTTTTCTTCAAAGGTTCTGCGTGGTTAGCCTAGTTTGTTTAGAGTTTCCCTTGGTTCCTAGTTTAACGATCGTTCCAAGCTTAGTACGTCCCCTGCTCTATTCCTTCTTCTTCTCTTTTGTTTTGGATCCCTCGAATTCAAGTTGGTCATTTAATTTCTAGACTTTTCACTTTTGTTATTTTAGGAATCAAGGCCTTACCTTGTCCTTTCTACCTCTCTTCTTGGATCCCTACTCTATTACTAGAATCTTTCTCTTCGGTCGCTAGTGTCTTGACCCTTGGGCTCTTAGGAATTGCTTTACTCGTGTTCCCCCCCTTTACAACTCTTTCAATCTTCCTTTTTCTTGCCCAGTTATATATGTCTCTTCTGAAGCCACAACTTCGTCTATCTCTCTCTCCATGGGTAATAGTCCCCAGAAATAGAGAAAGACGACTTGGAGGATGTTGGTGATGAAATCGACAACTTTCCTGGGGTTGATGCCGAAGAAGGGGCAGAGGTGCCTTTGTCTTTACCAGGGTCTTCTTCGAGTCCTAAGTGATCTTGAAAAGAAAAAACAAAAAGGGTAGAGCTGGACCTTCAGGTAGCGTTAAGGGCTCTGAGCCCATTCCTCGCACTTCAGACAAAATAGGTCATAGTGAGGTTGCACCTCCTTTTATGAGCGTCTTATCTGCAAGGTTTGGCTTTTCCAAGGGCATGCGCTATTGGATTCCTTGTGTAGACATTAGTTATGATTTTAAGGTCCCCAAAAAGGGCTGCTTCTTTATAGCCTCTATAGAAAATGGTCTTAGGTTCCCCATACACCCCTTCATCAAATCTGTCCTCCAACACTTCAACGTTTGCCCTGCTCAGATCTCTCCCAACTTCTGGGGTGTCATGGTGGGACTCCTTGTCTTTTTTAATAAAAATAGGATTGGTACCCCCTCGGTTCCTTTGCTTATGAAATACTTCAACATCAAGTTCTAACTTGACGGATTTTTGTAAATCTTCAAATGGATGAAGACCCCAGCCTTGATTACTGACTTGCCTAGCTCTCACAAGAATTGGAAGAAATTATTCTTCTTTGTGTTAGAGAAGGAATGGGATTTTCACCCGAGTAATGCCAAAGACACCATTCCTATCCCTCGCTCTTGGTCAGGTCCTGACAGCCTAGGTGAGTCCTTGTTTAGGGCAGGTTCAACTTGGCTTATTTCATTGTTGTGCTTGCTGACCTTATTTCCTTGGGTTGTTTTAGGTATTCACCCTAAGCTTGGAGATGAGAATAGGCTTCCTTTCCTAGGGCTCGAAGATTGCTGCCCGAAGTAATATTCTGACTTGATCAAGCATTTTGTGCTTACCAAGCTAGGGTTCAGCCCTCCCAAGGTCAGATTTGAGACTCCGATTCCCATCTTCGTTGTTGGTGCAAAAGACCCTGCTGGTAAGATTCTTCATCCTTGATCTATGTTTTTTTCTTTTCTTTCTTTTTGTGTTAATTGACCTGTTTACTTTCTCAGGTTCCATCCTAATGGCTCTAGACATTGAGATTGTGAAAGCTAAGATTGCTGAGGTAAAGGGCAAAGCAAAGCGCAAGCTTGGAGCAGGATCTAGGCTTGAGCCTCCTTCAAAGGTGTAGAGGACAGAGGTGCTTCCTCCTCCTTCCCTGACGATTCTTATGCCCTCACCGAGTTTACCAAAGACCACCCTGGCCTCACCTTCTCATGGGATTTCTCCCCCTCTCCTCATAGGGGTTTCTGGACAAGTTGGGGCCACCTGTTCTCCTTCGTCGGTAGAGGTCGCAGAGGCTTTGGATTCCATCGCTCCTCTCTTGTGATGGCCTCCTCCCTTCTGACCTCTAAGAAGACTCGCTGTCTACTTATGGAAGGTTTGTCAGCAAAAGCTGAGAAAGACAAAGGTTCACCTATCTTCAGTTATCCCTGACTCAAATATTCAAGAGGCTGCTGCTATTTTTCTCCACATTGTTGTCACTACTGCTTTATATAGTGCTGTTTTGGTAAGTTTTTGAATTTTTCCAGCTTTACCTCTACTTTGTGTCATTGCCTTTGTATTGGCTTTGATTTTTCTTGTGTTTCTCTTAATTGGCTATTCATGTAAGAGCTCTAGTGAGTCGTGTTTGAGCTCTAGGAGGCACAACTGAGGAGGTTGAAAAGGCATCTAAGCTCAAGATTTTTGAGTTGAGCTTTTCTAATTATGACCTCAAAGCTCACGTTGAGGGGCTGGCCTCTGCCATTAAAGGTTTGGAGGCTAAAACTAGAAAAGCCAAGGATGAGCTCAAACTGAAGGTGAACAACTTCCTCTAGGCTCGCAAGGATGCCTTAGAGGCCCTTGAATCCTTTGATACAATGAAAAAAAAGTATGATATGAGGTCAACGCTACTCTACTAAAGGAGGTTGAGGGTAAGAGGGTCACAGCTCGAAAGAAGGATGCTTTGATCTCTGAGCTTAAGGACGAGGCTGCTACCAATTGGGTCACTAGGTACCTTGCTTTTCAAGATCAAGTTGTGAAGAGGTACCCAGGCCTGGACTTCAAATTTGACCTTCCTATGGATAAGGAGAAGGAGAAGTCAAGTATTGAGAAAGAGGCAGAGGCCTCAGCTTTTGTTGTTGCTCCTGCTGAGGTCTTGGTTCCTGATGATATCCCTGCTGATCCTGAGGCTCAGACTCCTGGGTGACTTTGCCATTAGCTGAGGTTGAAGTTCCTGCTCTTGTCTTTACTGAGGCTCCTCTCTCTTCAACTGATTCTTTTGCTCCTGAGCCCTATAGGGCTTCTCTTCGTACTGCTGAGCTGCCAGAAACCACTTTTGATCCTGTTGCAGGCACTTGGGAATTTTAAGAAATTTCTATTTTTTGTTTTTTAGAAGATCTTGTATTTTGTCTTGTATTTGCTTTTTGAGAAATGAAAATATTCTTTTGAAGTTGTTTTGTACTTTTGTTCTTCCCTTCTTCCCTTTGCTTCGAGGAGAACTCTGTTCTTTTGGAAGTGAATCTAAATTTTTGCCAAGTATGAGGTCTTCCCTTGTGTTCGCTGAGCTTTATCTATTCGTTAGGGGCTTCTTCGTTGTTGAAGAACTCATTTTAGCATTGGTAGAGGTGTTTATCCTATTTTTTGTGAGCTGAATGGTCTTCGAATGTTTAAGAGCTGAAGAGCTCGATTATAGCTTATAAGTTGAAGACCTCATCAAGTATTTGTGAGTTGCAGGGCTCGTTGATAGCTTATGAGCTGAAGAGCTCATCAAGTGTTTATAAGCTAAAGAGCTCATTGAGTTCATAGCTTATGAGCTCAAGAGCTCATCAAGTGTTTATAAGGTAAAGAGCTTATAGAGTTTTTATGAGCTAAAGAGCTCATCCTTGGTTTATGATCTTCTTCTAACTCTACTCCAACTGTTGTTCCTAAGCTGCTCGAGCCACCTGAGGTCAATGCTGATGATTCTTGCATCTTTCTTGTTCTTGCTTCGTATCCTGTCTTTTTCCTTTCTGCTATAAACATGTCTTCAGCGGTAAGGGGATTCTTTTACGTGCCCACCTACCTTTTTAAAGTGCCACTTTCCCTAACTTTGGACATGATTATGGAAGTATAATGGCCGCCTCTTCGTCTTCGCGTGTTGTTCGCTTCCTTAAATCCCAGGATTCCTTATTTTTTGCCTAAAGCTCGGGATTTCTTTATTTTTTGCAATCTTCCTTTGATTCTTACTTTTTGCTTTCCTTCTCGCTTCATAGCTTCCTCTCCTTCTCACTGTTCAAAAAACAAGCCTAGGTCGTGTTGGACGTGCCCTGGTACACTATGTTTCTGCTCCCTTCCCTGATTACGGCTTCAGAGGTGGAGGAAGTTAAGAGGTGGTACCTTCTTCTTGACGCCTTGACCATCTATGTACCAACCTCTAATGAGCCTTGCAACCTTCTTCTTTAGCGAGAAGTTTGTTTCTTTGAAGGTGCTTTTGAGATGGGTTTTCATTTGCCCATTCATCCTATTGTTGGAAGGGTTCTAGCCTTCTTTGGAATGTGCCCCTCTCGTCTTTCACTAGAAGGATGGGGTGCTCTGATAAGCTTTTTTATTTTTTGGTGTTTGTAAGGTAACAGTGAATTTCCAGTTGTTGCCGAGTTCCTCTACTTTTATGATCTTCTTTTTGATATGCTCCCCTACTTTAGCCGCTTTAGATAGAGGCGCCACTTTGATTATTCGCTGGTCCTTGATGCCCTTAGCTCTCTAGAAGGGTGGACTCGACATTTCTTTTTTGTTTTGGGGGACTCTTGGAAGTTTGCTGAGGTGTGGTCTGAGCATGCTTAGGTCCCTCGGTCTGATCGTGCTCGGGTCCCTCGCTCTTGGGGGCATTTTTCTGACAAAGGTAAAGGAATTTTACCCCCTTGTGGTTTGCAAACATTATGATGAATCTTAATTGTGCTTGTGTTGTGCAGACGCTCCCAGTTTGACCCCTGACGAGCTGATGAGAGTCAGCCAAGTGGCTCGTGCGGAGGCGGTCCCTTACACGTTATTAGTCACTCCCAAAAATCTTCTCTGGTTTGGGACTGGTTCTAGCTTTGTTGCCCTTATGGAGGCTATGTCACGCCCACTATCTCTTGTTATTGATGTAGACTCTTCTCTAGGCTTGCCAAAGTCTGACACAACACGATTAACCGACACAAATCGATACGAATTAAGTGGGTTTGAGTGAGACTTTAACGGGTTCGGGTGGTAAACTGGTTGACCTGTTAGATACGTTTAATAAACGGGTCATGTTCAAGTAAGTCTTGTCAAATCATTTATCACACATTTACCTGTTTAAATAAAATTAATATAATAATAAATTAATAATTATTTTAAAAAATTAGACATATTTTTTTAAGTGACAACCACATATATATATATATATATATATATATATTATTTTTAGTGATAGCCACATATTTTTTTTTTAATTTATTGACGACCTAAAAAATATAATAATAAACTGATAATAAATTAAACATAAGCAGGTTAAACGAGTCGTGTCGTGTTACCTATTTATTAAATGGTTTGTGTTCGTATTGAGGTTTTTCACCCGTTTATTATACGGGTCGTGTATGGGTTTACATATTTTTCACTCGTTACCTGTTTAACCTGACACATTTGACATTCCTACTCCTCTCCCTCTGAATCAAATGAGAATATTGCTACTTCTTCAAGGAAGCACAGAAGGGGCAGTTCATCAGCACAATTGTCTGGTTTCTCTTTTGGTGAGATTAGTTTTATAGTTGTAGAGTTGGAGTTTGCAAAAAAACAGCTCACCGAGGTGGAGAAGGAACGAGACGAGCTGAAGGCTGAAAATGCTCGTCTGCAGGCTATGAATGTGCAGTTGGAGGAAGAGATATTCGAGCTAAGGCGGAGACTAGGGGGGCTTAGAGTTTTTTTTTCTTTTTCTTCTTTCTGTAACCCTGCAGTTCTTATGAATATAAAATAACTTTCTTTGTTGAACGCCTTGCTTATTTCCTCGTTATTTTACTCTGTTAGTTGTAATGCTTGGGCTGAAAAACCTAATCAATGTAGCGAGCTAAGTCAGATGCTCCTCTGATTTCGAGGAGAATTCTGTTCCAAGTGTGAGGTCTATCTTTAGTTGAGCGTATATGAGCCGAAGAGCTCATCATTTATTTATGAGCTAAAGAGCTTATCTTTTGCTTATGAGCTAAAGAGCTCATCCTTTGTCTATGAGCTAAGAAACTTATTGTTTGCTTATGAGCTGAAGAGCTCATCTTTGTCTATAAGCTAAAGAGATCATCATTAGTTTATGAGTTGAAGAACTCATTGTTCGTTTATGAGCTGAAGAACTTATCATTTGTTTATGAGCTAAAGAGGTCATCGTTTGCTTATGAGCTAAATAGGTCATCTTTTGTTTATGAGGTAAAGAACTCATCATTAGTTTATGAGCTAAAGAGCTCATCATTTGTTTATACGCTGAAGGGCTCATCTTTGTTTATGAGCAGGAGAACTCATTGTGTGCTTATGTTAGTAATGAAACGTTGACTGAGCTGAAACTTTGCCATTTTATTGATGATGAACTTTTACAAGTGTTCCAATTATTGAAAGAACCTCTTCAAATGGTTAGTGTTCCAAGAATGAGGCAAGATCTTTCTTTCCTCTGTTTGAAGTTTGTAGTTTGTAGGTCGGATTATCTTGGAAACAATGTATGAGCCTTTCAAGTTGGGCCCTAACTTCCCATGAGAAGGATCCTTTCTTGCAAGGAGGAGTTTTTGAGGACCAGATCTCTGACTTTGAAGCTTCTGTGCCTGACCTTCCTGTTGTAATAGTGAGATATCCTTCTTTGATAACTTATGATGTGTTGCAAGGCTTTGTCCCTCTTTTCTTCTAAGAAGTCGAGATTGAGCAGAAGTGACTCATCATTGTGCTCGGGTTTGGATAACTCTGTCCTCGGGGATGGGATGCCTATCTCCATAGGAGCTACTACCTTGGTTCCAAATGCCAAAGAAAATGGCGTTTCTTAAGTTGCTGACCTGGTTGTAGTTCTGCAAGCCTATAAGACCTATGGGACGTGTTCCACCCATCGTCTCTTTAAGGCATTGAGTTTGGTCTTCAGAGTTGCCTTTATAGTTCGAATAGTTACTTTTGCCTGCCAATTCGATTGAGGATGAGCTGGAGCTGAGAAATAATTCCTTATACCCAACTCGGCACATAGCTTTTTGAATTTGGGGTTGTCGAACTGTATCCTATTGTCTGAGACGATTGCCCTAGGTATCCCGAACCTGCAAATTATATATTTCTAGGTGAAGTTTTAAAATTTTTGCTCTGTCATTGATGCCAATGGTTCCATTTTAGTCCATTTGGTGAAATAATTCACTCCAATGATGGTGAATTTGCATTGTCCAGTGTTGATGAGAAGAGGTCCACGTATGTCCAATCCCCATTGTTGGACTAACCAGAGGCTGATTATTGGGGTGAGGAGCTCTGGTGGACAATAGAGGATGTTGGCATGTAGCTGGAAAGTCTTACACCTTCTAACTAGCTCTGCTACATCTTTGAGCAATGTGGACTAGAAGTAACCTTGCCTCAACGTTTTACCTGCCAAAGCTCGAGCTCCCATGTGATTACCGCATACGCCCTCATGGATTTCTCTTAGAATGTAGTTTCCTTTGTCTCCCACGCACCTCAGAAGAGGTGTTTAGAAGCCTTGTTTGTATAAATTCCCTTGGAGGAGGGTAAACCTAGATAACCTGGCTCTTAGTTTTGCTGCTTCTTTGGCGTCTGTTGGTAAGGCTCTATTTTGGAGATACTCCCTGATTGGGTCCGTCCAGGTTGGCTGACTCTGTATTGGGAGCACCTCTTCATCCTCAAAGCTTACCGATGGCTCAGTAAGGTGCTAAACCATAATTAATTTGTCCAGGTTTTCTTGGGAAGCTGTGGCTAGCCTTGCTAGGGTGTCAGCTCTGGGGACGTGTATTATCTTAACCTGCACAAATTTCTTCATTAGCTCATGTACCTTTCTCAGGTATATAATCATTCTCTCTCATTTGGCTTCATAAGTCTCCTCTATCTGCTTTACCAAGATCTAGGTGTCGCTGTAAATCACGAGCTACTCTGCCTCCATGGAATGTGCCATGTTGAGCCCGACAATGATAACTTCATATTTTGCTTCATTATTTTTAGCCTTGAATCCGAACCTGAGGGTGTATTCGATATCTATCCCATTGGGGAAGGTCAAAATCAACCCAACACTGCTGCCTTGGTCATTGGCGGCTCCATTTACCGAAAACTTCTACTTGGGGAGGTCGAGTACTTGCTGAGTTACCTCCATGGCTACAGTAAATTTTGTAATAAAATCTGCTACTATTTTCCATTTGATTGCGGTTTCTGGGTTTGCATATGATATTGAACTCACTGAGCTCTATGACCCATTTGACTAGTCTTCCTAAAGATTCTGGTTTGTATAGCACCTACTTCCCTGGCTTATCTGTTGGGACCTTAGAGGTGTGAGCTTGGAAGCACGATCTGAGCTTCCTTGCTATTGTAACTAGAGCTAGGACTAGTTTCTCCATTTTTGGATATCTCTCATTTGCTCCCCTCAGAGTTCTTCTATGGTAGTAAATTGGCTGTTGAGCTATGTCTTGTTCTTTGACTAGTGCTGCCCTGGTTGAGAAATCCGAAACAGTGAGGTATAGGGTGAACATTTCTCCCTCCAAAGGGCTCACCAATATTGGGGGTGAGCTCAGATAATCTTTAAAGGCTTTGAATGCTTCCTTGCAGTGCGTATCCCATTGAAATGTCTTTTTTAAGATTTGGAAGAAGGGCTGACACTTGTTGCTTGATTTGGAGACAAAACAACTTAGGACTGTTATCCTTCGTGTTAAGCATTGGACCTCCCTTTTGTTGGAAGGTGGTTGCATGTCCATCACTGCTTTGACCTTTTCGGGGTTTGCCTTTATTCCTTTGCTGTTGACTATGAAACCCAAGAACTTCCCAGTAGAGTCCCTAAGGCCCATTTGGTAGGGTTGAGCTTCATCCAGTATTTCTTAAGGATATGAAAATATTCTTTGGGGTGCCTAATGTGGAGCTCAACTTTTAATGATTTCACTAGCATGTCGTCGATGTACACCTCAATTGATGCTCCAATCTATTTTTGGAACATTCAATTTACCAAACGTTGGTAAGTAGCTTCTGCATTCTTTAGTCCAAATGGCAAAACCTGGTAGAAGTATATCCCCTGCTCAATCACGAGGAGGTATTCTCCTATTTCTGGGGTCCATTTTGATTTGGTTATACCCAAAAAAAAGTATTCATAAAGTTAAGGAGCTCATGCTCAGCTGTGGCATCTAAAATCAGAGCAATCCAAGGTAAGGGGAGGCTATCCTTGGGGCAAGCTCGATTTAGGTTAGTTAAGTTGATGCAAAGGTGCCACTTGTTGTTTGATTTTTTTACGAGGACCACGTTGGCTAACCAAATCGGATAGTCAACCTTTCTGATGGCTTTGGCATGGAGAAGTTTGCTGGCCTCCTCATTTATCGCTTCTGGCTTTTTAGGGCAAAAATCCTCCTTTTCTGTTTGATGGGTTTAAATGTCAGATTTAGGCTGAGTTTGTACATGATGACTGAGGGGTCAATCCCTTGCATATCCTCTTTTTTCCACGTAAACACCTCCATATTTTTCTGAGGAATTGAATAAGGAGGTCTTTTAACTTCCCTGGTTAGCTTAGATCCCACGCATACCAGATGCCCCATCTCCTCGTCAAGTTGAATAGGCTCCAGCTCTTCTGAAGGCATTGGCCTCATTTCCAGCTCGTTTCTCATGTCAAGCTCATACAGCTGGATATTCTTGGCCTATTTCTTTTTCATTAATGCCATATAACACTCTAGTGCCACACGCTGGTCTCCTTAGACCGCTCCTACGCCATTTTCTTTGGGGAACTTCACGAAGAGGTGGTAGCCAGAAGGAATGGCCCATATGGCATTGAGGAAGGGTCTTCCTAGTAGAACATTGTATGTTGAGGGGGCATGGACAATTAGGAACCTCATAATGGTGGTGGACTGGCAAGGTGGATCTCCTATAGTGCGCACGAGTTGGATTGAACCCAGGGATCCCTTGAGAATCCAAGGAGGTGAGCCCTTACTGGCTCAAGTTTGTCTCTACCTATATCCATCTTGTCGAAGGTAGATGCAAAGATGATGGCGACGGAGCTCCCATTATCAA